GTACGTACGATCCATATGACTGTCTGGGGGGCCGTATTTACGGCCGTACGGCCGTTCGTACTCCCCGTATCCATACGAGGGGAAACATAGGATGGCGGCTATGAGGTACGTCGAGGTTGTCTCAGCGCTGGTGAGGGGACAACTGAAATGTGCCGATATATGAAGAAAAGGGGCTGTGAATTGCGAGATCCGTGGTAAAAAGTAGCGTGGTCTTGGGGACAGTTGGTGGGGACCTGCTTTGACGAATCCTTGTTGTCTTCGCTTGTATTCCTGTCTTCACCCCCTCCATCCGCATTCCACCCTCCCCTCCTCCCCTCCTCCCCTCCTCCCCTCTCCCCCTCCCCCCCTGCCCCCCATTACCGATCCTTGCACCTTTAAGAACCTCCCTGTCAGGATTGTCCCGTCACTTCCTGCTTGCGAGGGACCTCCCTTCTCCGGAGAGCACTCCTCATCATCCCTGCCCTTTCTTGTTTCCCGTTTTCCACATGTTCGTCCATTTTTTCGGCTTTCTTCTTCCGTTTCTTTTCTTTCCTGCTCTTTTCCTCCTTCGTCTTTCCTTTATCTCCTCCCCCCTTTTTTTTTCTTCCTTTGTTTTCTTTTTTTTCCCCCTTTTTTTTCGTTCTTTTTTGTGCATTCGCAGAGACCTGGATGGTGGAATGAATTAACGCATCGCTTCCCATGGCTAACGGAATGCTCCTCGCCCGCAAAACCCACACAAGCATTGATGAATCGCGTTAACCCGGGGGTCATGGATGCGATAAAAAATGCATGGGACACCAGGCGCTTCCACCATCTCGTTGAAATGCTTTCTCTTAGTGACCTCGCTGTTCTCGCGGTAGCATGGGATCGGAACAGGGAGGAGCTCGACGATGAACTAAGGGTCTTGTGCGAGAAGCTCGAGTTGAGAAAAAAGGAGTGTACCAGGGAGTGTAGGGAGTTGGGGGGAAGAGCTGCCAGGGTCGGACAGATCCTCCTGAGTATCTGGGGGTTGGATGACTCGCACCTGGAAGGACGGGTGCCCGATATCCGGATGGGCGCTTTGCGTAACGCAAGGGCCAAACAAGTAGCGAGATGCTATGATCTTGCGATCAAGGCGGAGGAGAAAGAGGAGATGGAACGGGCAATCGCTGCCATTACAGCCACCATCAGAGATTCCCCCCTCACAACCAGCTGGACGGGTGGTAACGCCTCTTAACAGGACCAATACACAGTGTTCGCCCCCTTAGCATCCACGTATTGGGTGGAACACACATCCACGGGTTTCCGACATGCGATTTGGAAGATGGAGACCTTCAACCATATCGCACCGATCTCCATTAGAGCACTCCAGCTCCTAGGGAATGTCACAGATGCACAAGTAAAGGAATGTAGGGCATAGGTACTGAAAGGGAAGTTGAAGTTCTTCGAGAGGGTCCCCACGCTAGACCCTCAGGATCTTAAATTCCCACCCATGCGCGCATTAGATTCTTTAAAATTTCCCTTTTATTTTCCTTTCTCTTACTTCTTACTCGATTGTGGCCACCTGGCCTATGCACACAACACATAACGTAACAAAAGGGGGATCGGCGCGCAGTAGAAAAAACTATGCCGACCCCTTCACCCTCGCATCCCTGGACGATCCCAGCGGCTTCCAGGGCCACAGGGCGGTAGTGCTTTGCTGTACAGCACGGCGTCGAGCCTGCGTGGACCAATGGACAGTCCAGTGGCGCACCAAACCCTTTGCTGTGGGAGCACCCTCTGGATCAACCCATGAACAGGCCTGGGCAAGTCTACTACACCACTGAGAAGAGGAGCATGCCTGGTACATCATGAGGGTCAAGAAATAGGGTGTACTTGGCACCCAGCGGAGGGACGGGACACCACGCCCTCCAACAGCATGCAGCGGCTTTGGCAAGCGCTGCGTCATGACTGCGCTCTTCTCTTTCACCATGTGTCACCTCTGTTGCCGCTGCACGTTTTCCCGTCTGTGCAATGTGAAAATGTGAAAAAAAGGCCTGCAATCCCGTTGTCAGGATTATAGCCTTTTCCCTCACTTGCGGGGTGGGGTGGGGTTGGGGACGTTCCCGCTCTGATACCAGTGTGACGGTCCCACGGGCATGGCGGTCCGTCACGATGAAGATGAAGGGTGTGAACGGAGGAGATGGACAGCGTAGCTCCGCCGCAGACTCAACACGCTCATACTCCAAAATGTGCAGAATGAAGAATGACGTGAAAACTGACTGCAGCTGGGGTATACCCCCAGCGGACTGACTGGCCTGGGCTGGTACCGACAGTGATACCCGGCAGGAGTGGACTGGACTGAAACAGCACAGGGCCTGTGGGGTCAGGCCAGGGCCTGGTCCCACAGGCTGAACAGGCTATTTGCCTGATAGGCCCTGGCTGTGGGCCAGGGCAGATAGAGGTCTGCTGCACAGATCCTCGTCAGAACACAGACAGATTGGTATCGTGATATGATTGTGAGCCCCTTCTCTTCTCAGCCATCTACAGAGCTTTTCATTGC